TCCCTTTCAAGTTCAAGGATAGTTTTTGGCGTTTTTCCCGGAGGTATAAGTATGATACCACAGAAAGACACTTCACCATTATTTGTTTTATGCCAAATATTTTCAACATTTGGAAGATTTTCTATATAAATAGATTCCGTTTCAGTCTTCTGAAACGAAAGAAGGTAATGAGTTATAAATTGGAAAGCGTCATTAGTTACAGCCCGATGAAACATTTCTGTTAAATGTTCTGATTTAACTTTCAAACTTCCTTCTAAACCAGAATATTTTTTTATCGCATCTCCTATAAATATGCTCCACTCTATTAAACTAGCTGCCTTAGCAGCATTAACTTTCCACGTGCCTCGACTTATAATATCAGTAAAATTATTAATAAAATCTACATCTTTCATTAAATCTTCTAATTTCTCTTTTGCAGATAAATCATTGAGAAAATGTTCTGATGAAGTATTAATAATAGCTAATAATGCAGCGATTAAATAAGGATAGACATTATCATTAAGGTCAAGATTTTCAAGCATTTTGCATAAATTCAAAATTTCTTGTGTTGAAAATAGGTAAGTAAAGGCCATCTTCCATATAATATATGCAAGATATTTTCGATGTGTTGTAATTGAGGCCATTCTTTGTAAAATCACTTTCTCATCAACTGATGGTAAAATAGCGCCTTCATTTAAATAAAGAAATTGCTCTGTAGTTATAACAGAATTTCTATTGCTGATAAGTTGTTGATATCGACCTTCCAAATCTAACATCTGAGATCTTAAAGTCTCAATAGATTTCATAAGTTTAATACCATATAAAAGATCATCATTTAAATTTTCATATGACTTGAATAAACCATAAATAAATGTTTTGAAAACATCTCTGACTTTTTCTTTGACCTCTGCATCATAAACTTTGCTGAAAATAGTTAACAAACTTAACAACATATAAGTTTTTTCGTCATAGTAAAGATTAATTGCCGTTTCAGCGACTGGTTTATTATATTTTGACTTTAGTTCCTTTGCATGTTGATGTATTGTAGCGGCAAAATCCTCGCTGATATTGAGACTATGCGCAATATCGATAATTTCGTAGATTTCTGTACGTGAAAACCTATATGGTTTACCTTTTATCACCACCGGTTCTCCTAATAAATTATTAAATGGTTTTGAAAGTAAAGGATCATTGAAGATGACATATACATATATTCAAGCTCATAAAAAAATTGTGAAGGTTCCTGAATTAACAAAAGATATGATCGATTTTATCGTTCAACGATAAACTTTTGCTTAAAATCATTAAACTGCTTACTAGCGTAAAATTTTTTCGCAATTTATTAAAATAAGTTTTTATTTAAATATAGAAACTAACCTTGCTTGATTGCGTATTCCTTTTGCAAGTCCGGTTTTGGATCGTCAAATAACAAAAGAAACCATGGTTTATATTCAATTAAACGAGGATTAAGTTCCATTAAAACATTATCAGTAGCTAAGTTTATTGTCTGTTGGATTTTATCAAAAAGGATTTTGAAACTATCTGGGGACCACTCTGTGTAGTCGAGCATTTTTTATTTTTTTTTTTTTTTAATTTTTTTAAAAGAAACTTATTTAGAAATAAGAAATATCAAAAATTAAAATATATGAATTTTTTTTTTTTTATTTAGTTACGTCACTCGCAATCTCGTTTCTCCGCAGATGTAAATTAATTAATATTAAACTTTTAATTGTATTAGATTACCATTTCGTAAAGTCTTTTTAATTTTTCTTAAATTTATTCTAAACTTCTTTATTTTAGACGCGTAATAAATTGTTACCTTTGCCTCTATACTTAATATCAAATGAATTTGTAGACTTTAAAAATCAGCGTTAATTTTGTTTATTTTTTTTTCCTTAAAATTACAACTCTTGAAACAGAGTTTGTTGTTAATTATTTATTTGATTATTTTTCTACAAAAATTTTCTAAGAATTACATTAATTCAATCCTTTTTTTTTTAATTTTTCAGTCAATTCAGGTACAACGGTAAATAAATCCGCAACAAGTCCATAATCTGAAATCTAAAAAGTAAATTGTATATGAGTAAAATCATTCATTGTATAAGTTCGCTTCATGAGAAATAAATACCTGAAAAATTGGAGCATCCGG